TCTTCTTCTTCTTCTTCTTCTTCTTCTTCTTCTTCTTTTTCTTCTTCTTCTTCTTCCTATCTATCTATCTATCTATCTTTGTTCCTGTCTATTTGTCTGCCTGCCTGCTTGCTGCCTGACCGTGCATTGATCTATAGTTTTTAAAATGACTACTGGTCTTTTGTCTGCTTCTTTAGTTTTTTGTACGAAACAGTCCGCATGGCTTTTTATTCATTTTCGTTTCGAACGCTTGCTTGTCCAAGTCAATTCCCTCAAGTCTAACCCTCTTAACTTTAGCTTCCTTCTCGTAAGTATATATTTTCTATTGCCTGACTTGATCTTTTGTGTTTTTATTCATTTCGCTAGGTATCGTGCCCAGCTTTCTGAGGACTCAAGAGAAATTCATGAGCTGTGATGTTTTCAATTATCAAAATGGATATTGTGGCAGTAGCACCACTGCCTCTGGTGACATCTGCAATATAGTCAACGACTTCAAAGCAGTGACAATCTGGCTCTAATGGTGACAACCGCTCACATAGAGGCAAGTATTTTTGTTTGTAGTATGAATTTAATAGCTTTTATGAATCCACCGATCTCACAAAGATAACAACAGTAGCAACGCTAAGAAGGAATATAACATCAGGACGGCGATAACAGAGCAAAATTCACCTGTTGTATTGATATTATGCTAGATCTTCTTCAAGCTTTCAACAACCTAAAAATGTCGTAGGAGACTAAAGCAGTGCTCCCGTTGGCCGATTAATTTGGTCCACTCACTAAATTTCAAAGTTGGAGAAAGAGTGAATGGCAATTCTTCTCGTCCAGTCCAGGACATACGTTTGATTCTCTCAGTCTGAAGCACTGAATGCTGCCTACCCGGGTTCGAAACCATCTAATCTGTACGTGGAAGACCATTACTGCCCTGCTGTCGAAAGTACAACACGCTTCACGAGAGGACATTTTTGGGAAAGCAGTTACCCCAGCAGAGCTCTGTCAAAAACAACCGGACAGGTAATAATAGCAAAACTAATCGTTACAAGTCGACGACATCTCACTTAGCCATACCCTCAAGCTCAGCGTCTCCCTGAACCGTTGAACATGCCCAGGTAGTTTTTAGAAAGACAAAAAGTACCAACAGCAACCACGACAACATCAACAACAACTACAACCACAACCACAACCACAACAACAAGAACAGGAACAAGAACAACAACAACAACAACAACAACAACATCATCAACAACAACAAAAATAACAACAAAAACAACAACAACAACAAAGTGAACCAGGATCAAGTCGATCCAAGCTCTCTTCGTTGTTGTCTTCAATTTACCCATAAAACAAAACAGCGCCATCTAAGTAACAGCCACCCTCATAACAACAACCGACACAGCTACAACCCACATAGCAACCACCAACAACCCACACAGCAACAACCCACGTAGCAGCAACCCACATTGCAACCACAAACAAACCACATAGCAATCACCAACAACCCATAACCCATACAGCAGCAACCCACATAATAGGGCAACCCACAGAAAGGCAACCCACATAATAGGGCAACCCACATAATAGGGCAACCCACATAATAGGGCAACCCACATAATAGGGCAACCCACAGAAAGGCAACCCACATAATAGGGCAACCCACAGAAAGGCAACCCACATAACAACAACCCACATAGCAGCAACAGCCCAGATAAAAGCAACCCACTCGACAGCCACCAACATAGCAGCCACTCACACAGCGGCAACCTACACAGCAACCACTAGCAACCCACACAGCAGCAACCCACATAACAGCAACAGCATAGCAGCCACCCACGCCTACAACGGCTGTAGCAGCAGCAGCAGTAACTCAATCTACATCATTGCTATAGAAAGGTAGTAGTAGTAGTAGTAGTAGTAGTAGTAGTAGTAGTAGTAGTAGTAGTAGTTGTAGTAGTAGTAGCAGTTGTAGTAGTAGTCACAATAACGGGTATATTTCTCCAGGAACTTTATTTGGGCAGCAGTTACATTGGACAGGAAGGAGAAGAAGACCAAACTTGAACAACCACCAAGTACCCATGAAGAAATAGCTGCACCAGCATTAGAAACAGTTACACATACATATACACAATGACAATGTAGGAAATATTTCAATTTACCATGGGAAACAGTCTCTCGCGGTTTGTATACCGTAACCTAGAACTCCCTGGATATTACCAAAACAACTAGAAACAACTATCAGACCAACAGCAGCAGCAGCAGCAACAACACCGACAACGACGACAACGGCAGCAATAGCAACAAGAAACGACAACAGCTAGGATAATTCGCGTCAACAAACAACATCGGGCGGTTTCAGTATAGAAAGACCGTCACAATCATCGTAATAACAAACCATAAATAATAACTGTAGTTACAATAATAATCATAACAAAACAAGAACTACGACGACACCAGCAGCAGCAGCAACAACAACAACAGCAACAACTACAGGAACGACAACAACAACAACAGCCACAACAAGAAACAACAACAACGACAACCACCCATGTGGTTCTAGCAACATCAGACATTATCAACGACGACGACGACGACAACAACAACAACAACAACAACAACAACAACAACAACAACAGCAACTGCAACAACAGCAGCAGCATCAGCAACAATAATAGAAGCAGCAGCAACAGTAACGGAAGCAGCAACATCGTGACGACGATGGGCGCTGAGCAATCTCTCTCCTGCTTTCCGTGCACTCCGTGCGTCCGCTGCAGAAGACGGCACTGTCAGCTCTCCAAATACCTCAACCCCAGGCAGGTGCAGTTAGTCCAGTGTACCTGGTCCATTCTCAAAATGGACTTGACCACTCTGGGAGTCACAGTCTTCCTCAAGTAAGTCTTGCTAGTTATAGATTGTTGGTTGTGAACATTTTTGGGAAAAGTGAATGTTAGGAGTGTGTAGAGCTAATTGTTGTTGTTGCTTTTGTTGTTGTTATTGTTACTGCTGTTCCATTTGTTACTGTTCTTCTAACCCCCCTCCTCCTCCTCCTCCTTCTCCCCCTCCTCCTCCTCCTCTTCCATCTCCTCCTCCTCCTCCTTCTCTTCTTCCTCCTCCTCCTCTTCATTCTTCTTCTTCTTCTTCTTCTTCTTCTTCTTCTTCTTCTTCT